ATTCCATGCTGTATATGTGCCATGTTTTCTTATCCATTCTATCACTGATGGGCATTTGGGTTGGTTCCAAGTCTTTGCTATTGTGAACAGTGCTTCAATAAAAATACGTGTACGTGTGTCTTTATAATAGAATGATTTATAATCCTTTGGGTATATACCCAGTAATGGGATTGCTGGGTCAAATGGTATTTCTAGTTCTAGATCCTTGAGGAATCGCCACATTGTCTTCCACAATGGTTGAACTAACGTACACACCCACCAACAGTGTAAAAGCATTCCTATTTCTCCATATCCTCTCCAGCATCTGTTGTCTCCTGATTTTTTTAATGATCTCCATTCTAACTGGCATGAGATGGTATCTCAGTACAGTTTTGATTTGCATTTCTTTAATGACCAGTGATGATGAGCTTTTTTCATATGCTTGTTGGCTGCATATATGTCTTCTTTTGAAAGGCATCTGTTTATATCCTCTGCCCACTTTTCGATTGGGTTGTTTTTTCTTGTAAATTTGTTTAGTTCTTTGTTGATTCTGGATACTAGCCCTCTGTCAGATGGGTAGATTGCAAATATTTTTCCCATTCTCTTGGTTGCCAGTTCACCTCTACTGATAGTTTCTTTCGCTATGCAGAAGCTCTTAGTTTAATTAGATCCCTTTTGTCTATTTTGGCTTTTGTTGCCATTGCTTTTGGTGTTTCAGTCATGAAGTCCTTGCCCATGCCTATGTTCTGAATGGTATTGCCTAGGTTTTCTTCTAGAGTTTTGTTTGCTTGTTTTTTTGTTTTGAGACGGAGTCTGGCTCTGTCACCCAGGGTAGAGTGCAGTGGCGACATCTCAGCTCACTGCAACCTCCATCGCCCAGGTTCAAGTGATTCTCCTGCCTTAGCCTCCCAAGTAGCTAGGATTACAGGTGCCTGCCACCACGCCCAGCTAATTTTTGTAGTTTAGTAAAGTTGGGGTTTCACTTGCGTTGGCCAGGCTGGTCTTGAACTCCTGACCTCCTGATCCACCTGCCTCAGCCTCCCAAAGTGCTGGGATTACAAGCGTGAGCCATTGCACCTGCTTCTTCTAGGGTTTTTATGGCGTTATGTCTTTTTTTTTTAATTTTTTATTGGATTTTAGGTTTTGGGGTACATGAGCAGAGCATGTAAGACAGTTGCGTAGGAACACACATGGCAGTGTGCTTTTCTTTCCTTCTCCCCTTCACCCACATTTGGCATTTCTCCCCAGGCTATCCCTCCCCACCTCCCCCTCCCACTGGCCCTCCCCTTTTCCCCCAATAGACCCCAGTGTTTAGTACTCCCCTTTCTGTGTCCATGTGTTCTCATTTTTCATCACCCACCTATGAGTGAGAATACGCGGTGTTTCATTTTCTGTTCTTGTGTCAGTTTGCTGAGGACGACGTTCTCCAGATTTATCCATGTCCCTACAAACGACACAAACTCATCATTTCTGATTGCTGCATAATATTCCATGGTGTATATGTGCCACATTTTTCCAATCCAGTCTATTATCAATGGGCATTTGGGTTGATTCCAGGTCTTTGCTATTGTAAAGAGTGCTGCAATGAACATTCGTGTACATGTGTCCTTATAGTAGAACGATTTATAGTCTTTTGGATATATACCCAGTAATGGGATTGCTGGGTCAAATGGAATTTCTATTTCTAAGGCCTTGAGGAATCGCCACACTGTCTTCCACAATGGTTGAACTAATTTACACTCCCACCAACAGTGTAAAAGTGTTCCTTTTTCTCCACATCCTCTCCAGCATCTGTTGTCTCCAGATTTATTAATGACCGCCATTCTAACTGGCGTGAGATGGTATCTCAACGTGGTTTTGATTTGCATCTCTCTGATGACCAGTGATGATGAGCATTTTTTCATATCATTGTTGGCCTCATATATGTCTTCTTTCGTAAAGTATCTGTTCATATCCTTTGCCCACTTTGAATGGGCTTGTTTGTTTTTTTCCGTAAATCCATTTGAGTTCTTTGTAATTCTGGATATCAGCCCTTTGTCAGATGGGTAAACTGCAAAAATTTTTTCCCATTCTGTTGGTTGCCGATCCACTCTAGTGACTGTTTCTTTTGCCGTGCAGAAGCTGTGGAGTTTGATTAGGTCCCATTTGTCTATTTTGGCTTTTGTTGCCAATGCTTTTGGTGTTTTGTTCATGAAGTCCTTGCCTACTCCTATGTCCTGGATAGTTTTGCCTAGATTTCCTTCTAGGGTTTTTATGGTGCCAGGTCTTATGTTTAAGTCTTTAATCATCTGGAGTTAATTTTAGTGTAAGGTGTCAGGAAGGGGTCCAGTTTCTGCTTTCTGCACGTGGCTAGCCAGTTTTCCCAACACCATTTGTTGAACAGGGAATCCTTTCCCCCTTGCTTGTTTTTGTCAGGTTTATCAAAGATTGTATAGTTGTAGGTATGTTGTGTTGCCTCCGGTGCCTCTGTTTTGTTCCATTGTTCTATCTCTGTTTTGGTACCAGTACCATGCTGTTTTGATTACTGTAGCCTTGTAGTATAGTTTGAAATCCGGTAGTGTGATGCCCCCGCTGTGTTCTTTTTGCTTAGAATTGACTTGGCTATGCGGGCTCTCTTTTGGTTCCATATGAAGTTCATGGTGGTTTTTTCCAGTTCTGTGAAGAAAGTCAATGGTAGCTTGATGGGGATAGCGTTGATTCTGTAAATTACTTTGGGCAGTATAGCCATTTTCACGATATTAATTCTTCCTAACCATGAACATGGAATGTTTTCTCCATCTGTTTGTGTCCTCTCTGATTTCGTTGAGCAGTGGTTTGTAGTTCTCCTTGAAGAGGTCCCTTACGTTCCTTGTGAGTTGTATTCCAGGTATTTTGGTGTTTATGTCTTATGTTTAAATCTTTAATCCATCTGGAGTAAATTATTGTATAAGGTGTAAAGAAGGGATCCAGTTTCAGCTTTCTGCATATGGCTAGCCAGTTTTCCCAACTCATTATTAAACAGGGAATCCTTTCCCCGTTGCTTGTTTTTGTCAGGTTTGTCAAAGATCAGATGGTTGTAGATATGTGTCTTTATTTCTGAGGCCTAACACACACTTTTCAATAGAAGACATACATGTGGCCACAATCACATAAAAAAAGCTCAACATCACTGATCATTAGCGCAAATGCAAATCAAAAGCACAAGGCTTTTGATCTCGCACCAGTCAGAATGGCTATTATTAAAAAGTCAAAATTCATATTATTATTAAAAGTCAAAAAATAACAGATGCTGTCAAGGTTTGTGGAGAGAAAAGGTATGCTTGTACACTGTTACTGGAAGTATAAATTGGTTCAGCCATTGTGAAAGACAGTGTGACAATTCCTCAAAGACCTAAAGGCAGAAATACCATTTGACCCAGCAATCCCATTGCTAGTATATACCAGATAGAATAGAAATTGTTCTGTTATAAAGACACATGCACAGGTATGTTCATTGGAACACTATTCACAATAGTAAAGACATGGAATCAATCTAAATGCCCATCAGTGATAGACTGGATAAACGAAATGTGGTATATATACAGTATGGAATACTATGCAGACATAAAAAAGAAAGAGATCATGTCCTTTGCAGGGACATGGATGGAGGTGGAAGCCATTATCCTTAGCAAACTAATGCAGGAACAGAAAACCTAAATACCGCATGTTCTCACTTGTAAGTAGGGGCTAAATTACGAGAACACATGGATACAGAGGGAAACAACACACAGTGGGACCTGTCAGAGGGTGGAGGGTGGGAAGATGGAGAGGATCAGTAAAATGTCTAATGGGTACTAGGCTGACTATCTGGGTGATGAAATAATCTGTACAACAAATGCCCATAACACTGTTTTACCTATGTAACGAACCTGCACATGTACCCCTGAACTTAAAATTTAAAAAAATACACTGAAAGCTACACGTCACATTCAGGACAGGACTACCCCTGGAGAAGTGGGAGGGGGAATGGAAAGGGAAGTAGAAGTCAGGGAAAACTCAATTTTTTTTTTCTGTAAAGTTTTCATTCCTTAAAAGAAAGACAAAGTAAATATACCTAAATGTTAACAACATTGAAATTTGAGTAGTTGAAACACTGGGTTTATTATATTAATGCCAGGGACATTGTAGGTAGTCAATGAATATTGTTTGTTGAATGAGTATGCCTTCGTGTTTTAAAAGTTTCTCCAACAAACATATACAATTCTCAAATTAATAGAAAGTGCTACAAGAGCGAAGAAAAGGGGAATGAAGTGGGGAAGGCTTGAGAAATCCTTGTGGAATCATTTCTGATTTATATAGATCTATGTCACTGTACATGGATGCAAGCTAAAGACATAGTTCTACCTCCATCTTACATTAACAGTCTAAGTTTCTGGGTGAGTATCCAGAAGATGATGTTGAACACTTAGTCCTTTCAAGTAAATACCAGATCCTCAATTTTCTCTTCCAACAGACAGTGGGTGGTGCTACTGTCCGAAATTCCTTTGTCACAGATTTATTACATCAATGTATAGACAGACAGCTCCACAACCCATGTATCACGTGGGCCAGAGTCCTAGGGATTGGGGATATAAAGGTGAATACCTCAGTTGTTCTGTGATTATGAACTGACTGTTATCATGTTCAGTGGCCGAGAAAGTTACAAATGTGACTTTACATTTCATAGGAGAGTACTAGTCACAGAAAGACCAGTTGAATGGCCCTGAAGCACCCTCCTCACCACGAGAACCCTTACTCGACGACCTGGCCAAAGATTAGAGCAGAAAACACCAAGCCCCACTCCCAACCTACTGTTAGGTTGTCATAGTGTCCTTAGGCCCCAGTGGCTATAAAAAGCCAAGAGAGCCTAATGCTGGTTATTCAGCTTGGACCTTCGTGTTCGAGATGTTCTAAGCACACCGGGCGAGATGCATCGGCTTACTGCAGAAGCCTCTGTTGGGATGAAGGGAATGTGGACCTTCAGGCCCTAAAGTGGGAGAGGCCTGGGAGGTGGGGCCTGGGTGGGCGGGGTCTGCTCTGACGTCACGAAGCTTCTGATGGTCGAGGAGACGGTGGGCGCAGGCTCTGGAGGCCCCAGCGGAAGAGCGGAAGGAGATGAGCCCGGAAACCCTCGGCCAATGAGAGAGGGCTGAGGCGGGGCTGTACCCGGCTAGCAGTGCGGGGCTCTGCGCGGGAACGCTAACCTAGTCTGGAGCCAGCCTCGGTCTCAGCCCCGCGGACGGCCTTTTCCCGAGCCTTCAACCCTTCAGGTGAGGACGTGCGGCCTCACGGAGCCAGAGGACCATGGGGACGGAAGGCGTGGGGGTCGCGAGGTGGGGATATGCCGCGCCTTCGGGAGCCAGAGCGGCCGGGTTGGGGCTGGCGCTTCGCGTCTGCCCGCCGCCCGGCCCGGCGAGTCCGCCCGCGCCTTTGTCTCCCCCCGGCGCCGCCCTCTGCGCGCGACGCGGAGCCCTCCGGGGGGCCGGCCCCTTGAAAATAAGGCCCCGGGAAGGGGAGGGGGGACGAACCCCTAAAGCGGCCCGTCCGCGGTAGCTGCGGCTCGGAGGCTTAGAGGATGCGGAGTTTTGGGGGCCGCCAGGAATGGGCCCTCTGGGGCTGGGCCCTCGTTCCCTCTCCTCCCATGGCCGTTGGGCTGGGCGCCCGACAACGCTAATAGTTACTTGAAAAAGTATGCCAAATGCTCCTGACAGACTGGCCTCTGCGCCGGCCCCGCTGTTATTTTATTTGTTAGTTCCATTTCCCAGCGCCGAGCTTGGAGTCTGATCGCTCGGCAGAGTAGGGCCTTAGGGTAACCTCGACGGAATGGAGGGCACGTTCGGCCACTTCTGGCTGCCTTGGGGGCCTCTCCATTCTACCCCGGGCACTAGACGAAGTGTCTTACTCCCCCAGGGGTGGGGGCCGGGCTCGCGCACCCGAGCTCTGCCTGGCGATTTACGGGATATCCTATTGTCTCTTTGGACAGACTCCGGACGCTCACAGGGCACCAGGCATTCGGTCAGGTCCCACAGTCACGCACCTCTGAGCCTCATCTCCTTGCATCTCTCTCTGCAGAGAAAAGATGGTTGAAAGAAGACCCACTTATGTTTGGTTTATTCCATTTTGCTGTAGTCTGGGTCTGATCCTAGTTAACTGTCCCTTTTGATAGCGTTTACAAACCGGTGCCACAAGGAGCTATGACACGTGTGTTGTAGTGTCTTAATGTACTGTCTTCTTTGGGGATTTAAAATAGAAATAAATTAGTACAACTTATGCCACTTTGTTGTGTGCTGCTCTCCATGTCCCAAGAAAAATGCCAAAACCCAAAAGTAATAGAAAGCGAAGATGCTCAAATAGTGCTATCTCCTGTTACAAAATCATTACCTGGTTAAAGCCAGACTTTTTTTTCCCTTCTATTCCTGTCTGGTCTTATGCTTCTATTACCTCCATTTTACCCTTGCTGTGATTTTAAGAGTAAGACCTATGGCTCTGCGTTTCTAGAGCATCTTGGTTTCTGGGGCGTTCTGATCCAATGGCATTTACTGCCTATCAGAAATGGCTAATGCTGTGGAGTTTAAATTATACTAACAAAAAGATGTCTTTTCTAAGATCTGTTGTTGTTTGTTCTGTTGAAAATGAGCAGGTAGAATACACATTGATAGGAAACGTGAAATTTTTGCTTGTGACCCCTTAGTCCAAAGATAGTTCTGCCAGGTGAGTTTTCTTAAAAATCTTTTTTTCTGGCAGGGCGCAGTGGCTCACTCCTGTATCCCAGCACTTTGGGAGGCCGAGACGGGCTGATCACGTCAGGCCAGGAGTTTGAGACCAGCCTGGCCAACATGGTGAGACCCCTGTCTCTACTAAAAATACAAAAATTAGCTGGGCATGGTGGTGCACGCTTGTTTGTAATCCCAGCTACTTGGGAGGCTGAGGCAGAGGAATTGCTTGAACCCAGGAGGCGGAGGTTGCAGCGAGCCGGTATTGTGCCACTACAGGCCAGTCGGGGCGAGAGAGTGAGACCCTGTCTCAAAAAGATAAAAGTAACAATTTTTTTTTTTTTTTCTTTTCGGTCTATCTTCTAGTCAAGATGAGTGATAAACCAGACTTGTCGGAAGTGGAGAAGTTTGACAGGTCCAAACTGAAGAAAACTAATACTGAAGAAAAAAATACTCTTCCCTCAAAGGAAAGTAAGTCATGGGGGTTTCTAGTAGAAATAAACATTGGAGAAAGTTAACAGGTTCGGTAAATCTTCTAGTAAATTTTTGCCACAAAGTAAGCAATAATTAGAGCACCATGGTATTTAATGCAATGGGTAAAACTATCAATAGTTTTCTTCTGGTTTGCACATGATGGGCCTAGTAGTGATGGGGCAATAAAAAACTAGTTTCTTGTTTGAAAATGATTAAAAACCATTAAACCAATCTTGCAATATTGGATGTAGCACTAAAAGACATTTAGATTTTGTCCACTTTGGGTATTTTGGTATTTTTCTACATTTAGAAATTTAGTCCATAATATCATCCTTAAAGAACCCTGTAGAATCTGTAGTTTTGGCCTTCTATATATGATGACAAGATAAGGTGAGATAACAAATGTACTTCTGGGTATACTCAAATCTCTCAGATTCGAGAGATCGGTTCTGCCCTTTGGAGTTACAGCCTGATGGAGAAACTCTAAGCATATTCACAAAAGCTGAGAGCCCCTTTTGTTATATCAGTTTGTTTGAAAGTTGCAACATTAGTTAAAATTATCTGAAAGTGTACACTTTCCCGACTATATAGCGATAAATAAATCTGAAGAAAGTTCTCCGATTACTCCTCGGTCTTGAATAATCTGAAAAAAAAAATGGCAACAGCATTTGGAAAAACAAATCTTACAGTTGATGTAGTTTCTAATTGGTAGTTCAGGTGGTTAGTGTGCACATACATGCATGCACACACCACACTGTGAGTTTCGTGGTTAATGCCTTGGCATTCCAAATTTAAAGCATGTATGGCAGCCTTCAATGACTTACAAAGAGTTCTTTTGGAAGAAGCTGAACTAGGAAAAGACTTTTGTAATTTTTTGTTTCTTTTCCCCCCTAGCTATCCAGCAGGAGAAAGACTGTGTCCGAACATCATAAAATGGGGATCCTCCTCAAGAGCAGATTTCAACATTTCCTGACGGTCTTGGTTTTAGGCTTGTTTTTTTGGTAACCTATGTGTTTGTAGAGATTCCAGGCATCTTCTGATTTCTTCTCACCTATATTTCCTGGCTAAGAGGTCTGGGTAGTGAATGTTTCCTTAAGTTCCTTTCTAAACTTCCCATTGGTATGTAAATTCCAAATGGCAGATGCCGTCAATAATCTTGCCATTGATGACAGTTGTATGTGTAGTCCTTCCACCTCATACAGGATAAGCCAATTTTAACCTTCTACAATGGGTGCCTCAGTTGTTTCATAGTCTTCATGAAGTTGCATCCTTTGGCAGCATCTTACAGTTTATTTTCACCTCCGATGTAGCAATAAAATAATAAATATGATCATTATCCTGTGACTCTTGTAGTTCATTCCCGGTAGTATTCTAAGGAATGAAAATACATAAGGCTACCTTTTCAGCCAAACAAAATGGTTGAAGGAAAATTGTTAGCAGATTATTCATGGGGGAAATAATCAATTCTGTCCAGGCCCAGTGAGTCCTGACCTGGGGATGCTAGGTGCTCTTTCTTTAGAGTTGGAACCACAGAGTTACAGAACCTTGGAGAGAAGGTCATGTGGACTAACCTCCGTATCTCAGAACAAAGAAATGAAGACACAGGGTCTCATGTGATCTGTTCAAGCTGAATAAGGGCTGGAGTTCAAGCTGGGGGCTCTCTTGCCTTCTGGAACCTTTTCAGCTTATGGGAGTTAATATCCAAGACTGAAGTTGGATGGAGAAAGGGACAGGAGGCACTTGCTAACAAGCACCATATTAAGCACATCACATTTTCTAGTGACCTGTAACACTGAACTTCTGATACAGTTTTTCTACTGAACAGAATTTGCTGTTTTATGAAGTAACGTTTCTGCTATTCACGGTGAGCAAAAATGCTACGAACTGAACTTTGTCACCTGTGACCACCTGATTCATGTTTTGAAGCCCTAATCCCTAGTGTGATTGTATCTGGAGATAGGTTGTTTCAGAAGTAATTTAGGTTATGAAGTGATAACAGTTAGGTCTCAATCCAACAGGACTGTGGCTTTATAAGAAGAGACAGACCAGTCTCCAACATGTGAGGACACAGAAAGGTGGCTGTCTATGTGCCAAGAAGGGAGCCCTCACCAGAACCTGACCTTGCTGGACGTCAACTTGAGATTTCTAGAATCTAGAATTGTGAGCAAGTACATTTCTGTTAAGTCACTTAGTCTATGCTAATACAATAAGGAATTGTATAAATGCATGCATTTCAATTCCTCCCTTTAAACAATACTTTTATCCCTTTTTAAAATTTATTATTTTATTTTATGGGACAGGTTTTGCTCTGTCGCCCAGGTTGGAGTGCAGTGGTGCAATCACAGCTCACTGCAGCCTTGACCTCCTGGGCTCAAGCAATCCTCACCTCAGCCTCCTAGTACCTGGGACAACAGGCACCTTCCACCACACCCAGCTAATCTTTTTGATTATTAGTAGAGGTGAGGTCTCGCTATGCCCAGGCTGGTCTTGAACTCCTGGGCTGAAGCAATCTGCCTGCCTCAGCCTCCCAAAGTGCTGGGATGATAGGCATGAGCCACCATGCCCAACCTACTTTAATCACGTGTATAAAAATGAATCACCTATAATCCCACCAAATAGAAGTATTAGGCATCCAGAATTGTGATCTATTATGTACATATCTTCCTACAAATAGATTATACCTATTTGCAACCTCAAGTATTATCTTACCTCCCCCTTTCTAAGGGCTCACATTCTTAAATAATCACTTGGGTTACATGAAGTGGGAGCTGTTTTCTCTGCTATAGCTTAAAGTTTTCAAAAGCAAAACAGTAGGTGGGTCAACTTGGATCAACTGCCAATGAGGTGACACAGTCACAGGGCTTAGTGTAGCCAGAGGATTTGAGCCTTGAGGGTAACCATGTTAGTCACCAATACCTTAGCTCCTGCCTGAGGCTATTGTCCAGCAGAGTGGCTCAGCCCCTTGCAGTGATACGCTGCTTACATTGTGCCCAAACCTGCCTCCCTGTAATTTCTATCCAATAGTCCTGGGATTGTGTGCTGGAGACCTAGAGAGGGTAGTTAATCCATCCTCTAGAATTTGAAGTCAGCTGTTGTGTGCTGCCCCTATACTTCCAAGTCTTCTGCAGCTGACTCTTCTAAGATCCTTCAGACCCAAATTTCATAGATGGGAAACCATCCTGGTTGCAGATATGCTCAGATTTGCTCATTATCAGATCTCTGAATCCGATAATGATCCTGTCATCCAACACATTTGCTCCCCTTTCTGTGTTGTCATTTGCACATTTGATAAAGATGGTATCCATCTATGATAGATTCAGCAACTTCTTCATTTGCAAACTAGTGCAGCTCAAAGGAAAGCATGAAGGTTGTCGGGTGACCTGGGTTTGAACAATAACTCATAGTCGGTTGCATCTGGTAGTTGTCCGTTCATTAAAGACTTGGTATGCACCCTGTCAGTGTTAAACTGAGTTGGAGCAGATGAGAAGTGCATGGTAGGAGTGAAAGACATGTAATTACTAACTGATATTCCTACAGAAACGAGATGGGAAAAACGGCAGTTGCTCATCCGCAGTAGTTTTGCCCCATGCTTCTCAATTACTTAATGTTGGGGTGCTCTTCTAGTCACTGAGTTTCCTTGTCTTTTCAATCAGGGTTAGACTTTTTTTCCAAATGAGCAAAGATTGAGATTTAGGTCCCTGAATTCATCTATTATCTACAAAACTGGCAGTACTAGGGCTTTGTTGTAGCAGTTGCATTTATAGGGGAAGTAAAAGTCTAAAGTTAAATGATTGTCTTCCTTATGCATCTACATCCTTTGAAAATCACTTGTCAACGGCTTTACACCTTTATTCGTCCGTGTACACAGGCAGATACGACCTTAATTACTAAGAACAGAAAAGGATGAAATGTCGGAAAGAAAACATGCTGAAAGTGAAAAGAGGAAAAGCAGCCAAATAAAATTTCATGCCTGATTCATCTTTACAAAGGATAAAAATGTCTCATTCAGTATCATGGCTTAAAATTCCATGAAACGGTACAGGCCAGTGAGTTTTAAAAACATTCTTAGAGTTTAATCAATGCATGTTCATACCTAATAAGAATATCTTGGCTTTGCATCTTTAAATGTGTAGAAATATGTTTGATTATTACCTTGATAATATTCTACCTATTTGAATTGAGCAAGTGTCACTTGCTCAAGAGATGTTCTGAAAGGTAGTTGAAGTGTTCCCTGTAAAGCACTTAGAACAATACCTGGCACAATCACCGTTCACTCGGTGACTCTTTATTACTACAGCAACCCCTGGTTTAATTGACATTAACCAATGAGTGTCGGCTATATAGGTGGTAATGAAAGGGAGTGAAATAAACTGGCAAGGTCAGAAGTGGGGTAAGTTCATTCAATCTTCCGCTTAATATGTGCCACGTGGACTCTACCAATGTTTAAGGGATTGTGATTTTCAGTAATCAAAATTGTACTTAAGTCCTTGACTTTGCCATTGAACTGAATATGTTTTTGTCCACAGTCATATCAAATGGTGAAGAGACATCACTAAAGAGCCAGGAAAAATACTGACATTACTGGGTAGCCACTAATTAAAGGCAAAGGTATAGATTAATGGTATCATGAACATGTCTGAGATATAACTGGATATTTTACAGATGTAAACACCACTCCGGTCTCTGCAGCAGCGTTTTGGTGCAGAAAGCTTGTATTAGGGATTTCCAGAGAAATAAAACCAAGAGCACGTCATCCATCTATCTATCGAGAGAGATTTATTTTAAGAAACTGATTCATGTGATTATGGAGGCCGGCAAGTCCTAAGTCTGCAGGATGGGCTGGCAGCCTGGAGTCTCAGGTACAAGCTGACGTTACACTTTAAGTCTAAAGTCCATGAGGTCGAAGACCCGTGGACAAACGATGTTGCAGTTCAAGTGTGAAGGCTGTCTGCTGCAGAATTTACTCTTGCTTGGGGAAGTCGGTCTTTTTGTTCCGTTCAGGCGTTATGGAGGGCAGTCTCTCTTACTCAGATCCCTTGATTTAAATGTTAATGTTACCCAAAACCACCTTCACAGAAACATTCAGAATAAAATTTGACCACAAACCCAACCAAGTCGGGTTATAGCAATCTATGAAGTCAGGTTACCTAAATCTCTGTCCTTGCTTATTTGGGTAAAAAATCTCCCCCTGCTTGGGAAGACTAGACAAGACATAAAATTGGCCACCACAGAGCTAAATGTGGATCATCAGGTAATGACTGTAGAACCCTAACCTGAAAAGTTTTGCCACTTCCTGCTTCCCACTGTTTCTCTCACCAGTTTGCAACAAGGTAAACATATGCTCCCCAACTTACAATGGAATTAAGTCCAGTTAAGCCTATCATAAAGTCAAATAATTTTAAGTCGAACCATCCCGAGTTGGAGTCCGTCTGTATTGGACACAGTTGTACAACACGGAATGGCTTTGCATATGCTTCAGACAGCTATTGCAACATAGAATTGAGCACAGGAATCATCGAATTTGCTAACTGCTGCTTGAAAAAGCTCCCGTGTTTGCATGAGAAAATCATGTTCCTTGTATACCTTTGCAGGAAGGCTAACTTGATGCTTTTGCCTTTACACCTCTGAATTGATCACATTGCCTTCGGGAAAGATCAAGCTATGAAAAGCCTTGCTGTGAAGGGGAGGATCCCCTCAGACTGTCTACCCTAGGTATCCACGCCTTGAAGGTGCCACCACTACAACATGAGAGAGGATGGCAGAAGACAATGTTCAAGTACTTGGGTTCTGGACTCAGACTGGTGTGGATTTGAATCCTTGCTTTTCCATTTATCAGCTGTGTTATCACTGGACACATTACTTAGTTACCCTGTGTGTTGTCTGCAAAAAATTGAGGCTGAGATGTCTACACTATAGAGGGTTACTGGGGGAGTCAATGTGACAAGCAGACCATGGAGGAAACACAATCAAACATTCTCGTGGGTTTTCCACTGAGACTCAGACAGCTTTGTAGAGAAAGAATTTTTTTAAAGTGCAGTACAGGAAAGGGGACTGTACCCAAGAGATCCAGAAGGACTGTGTGGACTAGCCACACAAATTCAGCAATATCTCATAGTTTGTCAGGGGCCAGTGTCTTATCTAACAGAGGTTTATTCATTTATATGTTCATTCAACAAATACCTGAGCGCTACGACACTCACAACTTCCTGCATGATCTAGTTACCCTGGGAAGTACAGAGTCTTAAATTTGGACATGTTTCAGAATGAAAGCAATGCTATTAAGAATCTCAGGGACAACAGGTGAAATCAGGACAAATGGTCACTATGCTGGGGAAA